GTAGAATTGAAATGATTTAAATCAGATATTAGTTGAAAGATGAATTACTTTTATTCCCCCAATAACATATGAATTGTACACAATGCTAGGCAGCAATTTGCGTGTGTAATGCTGTAGAAAGAATCCGGGTTAGTAAAAGTTCTGTCCCATATACACTAAGTTTAGTTTATGTGTAAACATTAAGCAGGCAATTACGCATAAATTATTGCGCTATTTTTTAAAATAGCTAATTAAATTAATTTTACACAATATTATAATATCACTTATTACAAGGCCAATCACCAAAAAAAAGGCTGAAAATCAGACAAATACAGGAATAAAGGAAAAAATTATATCCTTCTGATTCTATGTAAAACCTTAACAACCAATATTGCACCTTACATATATCCATTATTGCCCCAATTACCCAGTTACATTGTACAGTATAGGGGCAATAATAGAATTTGTTGACACTTTATAAATAATAATAATAATAATAATATTAAACAGCACTAACTGGCCTAGTATGGCAGTTGGATCCACACTAAAGAGGAAAACTCAGGATGTATGCTATACATATTAAGCTTACCAAATATTTATACCCAAGCTCCAGTAGAGGCTTTGTGCTGGAGCTCTGGTCATAGCTGGTCAGCAGCTCGGCCAAACCCTGCACATTCCCTCACCTAGAAAACTGTAAATGGGGCGGTCAATAAACCAATAGTAACCAGTGTATATTATCACATTACTCAGATCTGAGGAATGGAAGGGCTAAGGGAGCTCAATTCTATATGTCACAAACTCCTTCCAAACTTGAGTATATTCAACAAGATTAGACCCACAGAACACAAAAAGAGACTCCTGACTGGTAAAGCTTTTTTCTGGTTTGCGAGAGGCTCTCTGCCACTGCCGACTGTACTCATGTATGTATTTTTAGCAGATGCAAGAAATTGAAAGGTGATTAGCTTTTTAGGTACATTTTTCATTTTATTTTTGCACTTTTTATACATTGTGCACATAATGCATTATAAAACGGGGGTCACTTTATCACCAAGTGTCCTTTAAAAAGCTTGGAAGCGATATGGCTGCCAAATGTCAAAGGCCAGCAGCCCTGTGGCATGATTACCAGCTGATCCCCGGCTGCAACAGTGTATGATGGGATCAGATGTCAATTGGCTATTGTTGGAGGCCTCAGCAGTAAGGCAGTCCAGCAATGGTGATTGATTGACTCTCAGACTGTCTGATAGCCTATCACATTGATCATTTGCCTCAGGTGTCAGTTAAGCTAATGTAATCACTGTGACTAGCTAACATAGCGAACATTAAGCCTGAGAGCTATTCTAATAAACTGTAATTTGTTAAGATTAGAGTTAGCAAGGATTAGTTAGTGGTATTTAGGAGTATCTTGGGTCAGTGTTAGGATTAATTAAGGTTATCTAAGGTTAGCTAGTGTTAAGGTTTGCTAGATTTTTAGCTACGGTTCAGGTTTGAATTAGCATCAATGTTACATGCTGGTTAAACCTGGTAAAGAAATACCCGTGGATTATTGCTGCACTCAGGAGATGCAGAAGAATACAATTCTAGGGTTTTTGAAATCGTAGAATACACAAAAGGCCTGTGACTAATATTAAATGTGTATATGTATCGATAACTGAATTTGCTGTGGACCTGGTCTTATATTTTATTACATAGTAATATGTATACATTGTGGTTGGATTTCTGTGCAAAATGTAAATGTACAAGGTAAAAAAAATGAGCCCTGCAAACATTTCTTGCCCCGGGACCTGCAAATGAGAAGAAATCCTTTAAATTGAAACATCATCCACAAAAACAGAAAAAGCTCACCCAGGAGTTAAGACACTGTCTTATCACTTAATGGGGAAACTGCACATGTAGTTATCTGTGGACACCATGTTTGTGTTGATGACGACAGTGAAGCCAAGAAGATTAAGAAAATACCTATAGGAATAGTTTTACTCTATACACACATTAATAATTTGGAAAGACAAAGTATAGGGGCAATATCACGACAGGTGCCATTTATAACATTAAACCAGTACAGGTGAGATATACCATGGAATTAACCCCACTTGTTTTTTTCCATTTATGACGTAAATACAGCAAATCTATAGACCGCAGAATAAAATGCTTAGTTGTGTTACAACATCCATGAAAATAGGTTGATGTTTTAACAGAAGGATATAAATGGAAGTGTTTAGCCATGTGGTTGGCTTTCTTCAAAGAGAGGAATTGATGATGTAAAAATCAAGCAAATAACGTTATTCACAACCATTGTACTGATTTTAATGTATTATGGATATAAAAAGGTAAACTTTTTTTGGGCAAAGTCCATCATTTTTTTGGCAAGCTCCATCTGTTTTTTGGCAAATCTTCAGGGATCATGGCTGAAACATCTCTGCCCATCCTTGTCCTGTCATTATTTTTAGGAGGAGAACTGGGACTATTCTTGCACAATAAAATTATACACTGCTTTTTTTTTTTTTTTTTTTAACAATTTGTTTAATTACAGCATCAAATATAAATATAATGTATAACACAAGAATATATTAAAATAATTAAAAACCGAGCCAGAGTTTGAAGAAATAGCTTATCAGCAATCAAATAACCTCCTGATAAGTTATCACAGTAAAAGGAAAAATTGCTGTCACTGCCAACACCACATGCGACATATTGCCCCATAATCTGCTAAGAGAACTACCAGCCTTTAGTTCATCATGCTATTCAAATTCAGTCCACGCTTGCTTTTATTTTTTTACAAAAATGGAAAAGGAACTGCACTCAAGACAGGGTGCTTAGCTGAACCAAGGGCTAGCACAAGCCCAGAAGACAATAAATAGCAGTATTAGAAAAAGGGTCCAGGCACTCGAATGTCTTCATGCCCCTTTATTGAAACATGTGGAACACTGCAACGTTTCAAATCTTAATGGAGCCTGACAAAGACTCCACTGGGAGTCGAAACGTTGCAGTGTTCCACATGTTCCAATAAAGGGGCATGAAGACATTCGAGTGCCTGGACCCTTTTTCCAACATTGCTTTTATTTTTTGTCACATCCCTTCTTCATAACTTTAGTTATTTTGTATGTTTACAGTTTTCAAGCTGGTGTTTCAATGGTGATGCTTTACTCATAAAATACTAAATTATTGCACATTTATTAATTGCTCCTTAACTTTCAAAGCTGACAGTGTTTGCCTTTGCGCAAAAATGTTTTGGAATATATGTCTTCCTTTATCATCTGGCATCTTAAATTTTACCAAGGATGAATCTTCATATAACTTATTCTTCTCTTTGTTCCTCTAGCGTCTAACCCCTGTCTGTTTTCCCTGATGTACAGTTACCATGAGGTTTTTCTACATTGTACATTATTATATATGCACACAATACAGTGGGCACAGAAACATAGTATGTAGCAATGTTTTTATGGTGATTACTTGTCTATGTACATTTTTCTAGTTTACAAGAAAGAACTGCTCAAAAAGGACAAAGATTGTATTCATTTGTCTAACAGTAATGTTAGCCATGTTTATTTTTTTACAAACTGTAGAATAGTCATCAGTTGAACTGATGATTATGGGTAGGAAGTTGCATAAATTCACACCCTGAATCCACCACTATCAATGGTTTGTTTTTTTGTATCCTTTTTTAAAAAATGTATTATTTTAGTGGGTGGTAAGATACATTGCAAGAAAGATTTATTGTGCAGGCCTGATCTAACACCACCATTTCTTATAGGGTTGTACAATAGGAATATAAAAACAAGCACACTATATGAAACAAAGCAAGTGAAACAGTAACATGAGGCGTGGAGGGCCCTGCTCAAACAAACTTCTAAAGGACTTTACTTATGTTACATGCTGAGTACCTATATGTGCCTGGGACGTTATATGAATGCCATATAAGGTGCGTGTGAGATACACCATTTTGGGTGGTTGTTCTTAACTACACGTGTGTTATATGTAGTATGCACAGTGATTTTTCTAAATATTAGCCAGAAGTTCAGATGCATAGCACTAGGACAGTAAGTCATTGTGAGAGTTAAAACAGCACTGTCAATTTTTTTTCCATTTTCAGATTGCTTGTTCCTTAAGTATTATACTTCCTCCCTTGTCTTTATTTACATTATTTATGTTCTCTTCCTTTAGCAAAATAACATTATCCGGGTGCTGCCATCTTGTTCTTGTGTGTCCATTTCTGACCACCTCTGGGATTCTTTTGACTGTTGGATTGTGGGTAAAACAGTTTGGGAGCGGAAAAGGAATCTTGCTTAAAGGGAAACTATAGAGCTAGGAATACAACGTTTTTTTCCTCGCACTATAGTGACCTATAGTGCCTCTCTACCTCGGTTAAAAAAAAACCTTTATCACTTACCTGATTCCAGCGCAGAGGACCCTCGGTGCTGGGTCAGGTTCCTCCTACACTCCTCCTCCCAACGTCAGCCGGCATGGGGGACCTATTCGCCCCTATCGCATTCGGACTTCCCCAATAGGAAATCATTGCATATGCTTTCCTATGGCGTTTTGGATGACGCTGGATGTCCCCAAGCAGAGTGTCCATAAGTCGCCTAACAACCCGGAAGTCCCGGAAGTCCCTCTAGTGTCTGTCTGGTAGACAGCCACTAGAGGTGGAGCTAACCGTTCAATGCAATTATTGCAGTCTATCAAAAACTAATAATATTACAATAATTACAATTGCAGGGTTAAGGGGCCTGGGACACTGCATACAGACCACTAAAATAAACTGAAGTGGTCTTCGTGCCCATAGTGTCCATTTAAGCTCTGCTTATTTACATGGATTACGCTCAGGGCCGTCTTTAACGCGGGGCAAATGGGGCAGCTGCCTCGGGCCCAGAGGCTTCAGGGGGCCCAAAGCAGCTGCCCCGTGGGCCCCGCTGCCCTCAATAATTTCCCACCCCCCAAACACACCCCAACATTCACACAAACATACTCCATATAAAAACATGCTTACATTCAAACACACCAATACTGCTCAGTGCTAAATACAACCCTGCAAGCATGGGAAAAAAATAATACGGTACCAGCCGTCAAAGCATTGTTGGAGTTGCACAGCAGATAGGGTGGCCCCAAAAAATTCTTGCACCAGGGCTATTTCTGATTTTATCCGTCACTGCGTTGGGGTGGAAGGCTTGATTGCATGCCAGAGAGTGAGGGGGGAGGTGATGGCGGCAGGGTCAAGGGGACCCAAAGCAAATGCTTGCCCAGGGTCCAATCAATATTAAAGACGGCCCTGATTACGCTCCCCATAAGTAGACATAGTCCCTATTTTTTTCATATGTATAACTGAAAAAAAAGGAATCAGTTAAACTTAAATCCTGCAAGGTAGTAGTGCCACTGTAAGATGAAATTGTGTGTCAAGTTTCCATTTTCTTCTAAGGAAATGCAATGGCAACAGCAGCTGCCTTTGTATGGCGTTAATGTAGTGTTTACCACTATACAACGCAATAAACACAAATAAGGAATAATGATTGCCATGAATAGCTGATGAATATTAAATACCCCCTAAATCTAGCAGTGTCTGAAAGCAAAGTCATCAGAAATTGTAATGATGCTGCATTCGTACACAAAGCAATTTCAATATTATTAAAATCCTGCATAGTATATCTGTATTCACCACTAATTAGAAGGAAGCCAAGAAACCGGAACCCTGTTTCTTCTTAGAAGGATTGGATTTATTGTCCCCAGGGAAAGCAGATGGGATGGAGGTAGATCACAGTGTAGGCGTGACACTTCACTGACGTACAAAACAGAACAGAGCCGAGTTCCTTCTCATTCACACTTTTATTCATACTTGCATTAGTGACATCTTTTAATAATAATTCAGCTAAAACAAATTTGCTGTTTTTAATGTAATATTGTTAGGGTTTTTTTTTTTAACACAGTCAACAGTAAAAAGACAAAGAACAGAGTAAAACGGATATTACAATAACATTGTTTTGCATTATAGATTTTTTTTTCAGACCTTTGTAGTGTTGGCAGGCTTTTACTAAAATCCAGAAAGATTGTGATGACTAGTTTTTGTTACATCACATTTAGCAAAATAAAAACCTACCTGCTACCCCACACTAAAGCAAGCTTAATTTCAGACCAAAGTGGCATTAAAAATAAAGAGCATTAGACACTGCTTCCAGGGCGTGGGCTGTCTGCATTCCTTTGGCAGATGTACAGCGCCACGTGTGGCCTATCAAGGCAGCATTGTTCGCTTTTCACGTTTGCCATTTTTGTAATACAGCATGCTCCCTCTAGTGGCTAAATGACATAAAAGATACCCAAATTTCACTGTAATTCCACAAATGAACAAAGAGGGTGTTGAAAGCTAACAAAATGCTGTACAGTCAAATATAAATGTGTTTCTTTTTGCCAATTTCTATCACTGATTTCTAGCTTTGCTGCTCTTAATTATTCATGAGCATAGCAATATGTTTAGAGTAGAGATCAGAGGTGTACACAGGGTATATGACATCCGGGATAAATCCTGTGTGTGAGCTCCTACCCACCCACAGGATTCATTGGTTTTGTCTTTCTTAACCTCCCTCACATCCTAATGTGTTTTCTATGACCTCCCTCACCACTTATTGTTTCTTTCCTGACCCCTTTGTGTATCTCTGCTAATCATATTCACTCCCTATTGTGTCATTACCAGTCATTGTGCACCCTTGTGTATTAATCTTATCGCCCTCCCTACCTTTTAAGTATGTATGAAGCCCTAATCATGGTCTTGTACGCTTCCCAAACCACCTTTCAACCCGTTGTGTCTCTCCACTTCCACCTTTTATCTCTCCAGCCCCCTCCTTACTACTTATGTGTCTCTTCAGCACTCCTCCTTAAAGGGAAATGCTAAGCACCCAAACAACTTTAGCTTAATAATCAGTTTTGGTGTATAGATCATGCCACTGCAGTCTCATTGCCCAATTCCCTGCCATGTATGAGTTAAATCACAGTTTTTTCTGTTTATGCAGTGCCAGCCACACCTCCCCTGGTTGTGACTGACACGGCCAGTATAATGGTTTTATTTTCAATCAGATGTGACAACACAGTGTGTTTGCTTTAGATGGTTTTATAGATTGCTCTATAGATTGAACTTTAATTACACACAGGAGACTCCTGCAGTCTCTAGCAGGCTAACAGAGCAGGAGACGAAAAATTCAAAATGAAACAGTCTGTGCAATAAAGTAAGTGTAAATATTATATATCTCTTTACAGGAGCTGTGTAGGGAGACTGTGTAGGCCATATGCAGGTGTGGAGTTGCTAGGGCTTCATAAACCAAAACAAAAGTGATTTAACTCCTAAAAAGCAGTGAATCGAGCAGTAAGATTGCTGGGGCTTGAGCTATATACCAAAACCACTTCATTAAGTTAGTTATTAGTTGTGTTGGTGCTTATAGTGTCACTTTAATTCTTGGGTGCCTTTCCAGGTCTTTGCTTGTGTGTGTCTCCAGCCAATATCCTCCCTCCTGTAGTAGACCATATATAATATATAGTGCCTGGTCTTTCAAGGGAGTGCCAAGAGAAGTGCACTGAGTGTCCAGAGAGGTGGGTTTAAGGCTGAACAACATATCCCAACAAGGTCAAATAAGAATACCGACAGAGGAAGAAACAGAGCATGCACTGTGGTCCCACTTATCCACTCTACATTAAGTAACGGTGTGGATAAGGTGGGTTGTATGCACCTACCTCCTTCCTGTCACCCTGGGCAGATTGTGTCACCACTGCTACTAATACTGGGATTAATAAATAATTTAGATCTTACCTTAAAAGAAGTTATCTGTTGCAGCCGGTAACCAGATCTATACTTGTTTAGGGCACCATAGTTAATCACCCGCACATTTCCCTCCCCTCGACAGAATTAAATTTCTTTGCCATTACTTGGAAATTCGATAAGCCTGACAGCAGTGCAGAGCCACATCCTGATGCAATTCTAAGACTTGACCTTGATGACATGAGTACAGGACTGTTGCATAAAATGTCTTGGTGCTGGAGCCAGGCTTACAGAGCTTCCAGGAATTTCCAGCAGAACTGTGGGCAATAGAGACATTAGTGTGGCAGAGAGGAGAGAATGGGCACAAAGAAAGTGAGTGAAAAAGAATGAATGGGAACAGTGCATTAGGGAGAGATGCAGTGGATGGAGTGGATTATCTATAAAGTGGACTGGGACAAGGACATAGTATGGACATTGGCGTTGACAAAGGAGTGGATGGACACAACCACCAATGCGATACAATAAAGTATAAATGACATGAAACACATAGACAGTAGATGCTGTTACCATTTTTGCTATAATAAGTGTGTGACATGGCATAGCTGTATATGAGGTGATCATAACATGCGTTTAATGGCCCCAAAGGGATAAAAGTAATCTGTTTGGATTTAATTGTGGATCAAAGACAGCTTTCTACCTTGTTATGGCTATTATGCCATGAATAAGCACTATCCAAGGAGCCCGCTGGAGCAGTAGGCACAATGTAAGATTATGAAATACTTTATAAATGCTGTCGATAGCAACAGTGTTAATATTTGTGATTTCTGCATTACCGACAGTTAATATGGGTGTAAATACATGAACCATAACACCTACTTTAATTTTTGCTTTTCCTTCACCCGGAAAATGTTCAGCCAAGGCTGTGGAACTGCCTTCCCTAGTCGACTGACTGGGTTACTCAAACTGGGAATGATTTGAAATTGATGATGGAATTTTCAAATTTTAAGCCAAAATGGAAATATTCTGCAATTCTGCTCTTTTTTTTCAGTTTCATGGTCAGATCCCTACAATTAACGTCTATGTCAATAACCTTGCATTTCTCCTGTCCCATTCTTTCTCTACAATCAGACATATCCTGCCTCTTTCTCTCTTCTCACTGCCCAGTTAGTCATACAATGATCAGCCACAACATTAAAACACCTGACAGGTGAAGTAAATAACAATGATTATATTGTTACAATGGCACCTGTCAAGGGATGGGATATATTAGGCAGCGAGTGAACAGTCAGTTCTTGAATCTTTACGTGTTGGAACCAGGAAAAATGAGCAAGAAAATAGATCTGAATGACTATGACAAATAGTGATTAGTAGAAGACTGGGTCAGAGCGTCTCCAAAATGGCAAGTGGTTTGTACCTATCAAAAGTGGTGCAAGGAAGGTCAACCAGGGAACCGGCATCATTGTCATGAGCGCCCAAGGCATTGATGCACATAGGGAGCAAAGGCTAGACAGTCTTGTACAGTCATACAGAAGAGGTACTGTAGCACAAATTGCAGAAAACGTAATGCTGGCTATGAAAGAAAGGCGTCAGAATACACAGTGGATCACAATTTGTATTGTAGCTCAGCTGCATAGTCACAGACCAGTCAGAGTGCCATAATGACCCTTGTCCACCGCCAAATGCCTTTAAGGGGAAAATAAGCGTCAAAACTGGCTCTTGGAGCAATGGAAGAAGGTTGCCTGGTCTGATGAATCATGTTTTCTTTTGGATCACGTGGATGGCCATGCGCATGTGCATTATTTACCTGGCCAGCAAAGGCATTATTATGCTCTAGGCAATGTTCTGCCCAGAGCATGTTACTTTGACAACTACCTAGAGATTGTTGCAGACCATTTCCTTATGGTAGCGGCCTCTTTCAGCAGGATAATTCACCCAGCCACACTGCAAAACTTTCTTCTGGAATGGTTTTAGGAGCATGACAAAGAATTCAAGGTGTTGCATTGGCCTTGAAATTCTCCAGATTTCAATCTGATTTATCATCTGTGGAATGTGCTGAAACAACAAATCATACAGGCCCCACCTCGCAACTTATTGGACTTAAGGATCTGCTGCCAATGTCTTGGTGCCAGATACTACAGCATATATTCACAGGTCCTGTGGAATCCATTCCTCAACACAACAGAGCTGTTTTCGCAGCACATTGTGGTTTTAATGTTGTGGCTAATCAGTAAATATGCTCCTAAACACTAATAACATTTACCTTATTCGAAAAATCACTGCAGCTATAACACATCCCTCATAGTTGTCAATTATGTAGCCAGACTTCAAGCTCCCAGACTGCCTGTATCATATCTGTACAAGTCGTGCAATTGGTATGGGCTGTTCTCTCTCTCCTACCTAGGGGTACAGCAGAGCATGCTGCAGTAGTTTTGGTGATAGGAGTTCTCAGGCGCCCTTCTAATTTAAGTAGTTATAATATTTGCTAATGGTTTGATAAGTTACCAGGGTCCCATGGGTGCCAGTCACTTCCTCCATTGAGAGTCACATCTCCTGTATGGAGTTTCCATTGCTCTCCTGCGCTAAACCCTGCGCTAAACCCTGAACCCTCAGTTCAATGCAGATAGTTATTAGCTCTCATGGAGCAGGTGACTGGTAGCCAGCAGCCAGCTGTTTGCAAACAGTTTGAATACTTACACTGAGGGTGCCACGGCACTCCCCGCACCATAACCATTACAGAATGAAGAGGTGTCTGGAGTGTTTCTTTAACTTTTACTGTAATATTAGTAAAATAAATAACAAAATAAAAGACAATGGAAAATATATAAATTAAATAATAGCCTAAAGGCTTTGTGTGATGTTTCAAACACATGGTTTGGAAAATTATTTTATTTATTTATACACCATAGATTTGTTTTTATTTTCTTCTTTCGTGACAGAAAGCACATCTTTTAAAAGTTGGATTTGCCTTAATTAAAGGGACACTCTAGTCACCATAACTTCAGCTTATTGTAATTGTTCTGGTGAGTATAATCATTACCTTCAGGCTTTTTGCAGTAAAGCTGCTTTTTCAGAGAAAAGGCTGTGTTTACATTACAGCCTATGAATACCTCCACTGGCCACTCCTTAGATGGCTGCTAGAGGTGCTTCCTGGGGAAGTGCTGCACAGTGTGCATGGAGACACTGAACTTTTCTCACAGAGATACATTGATTAAATTAATCTCTGTGAGGAGTTGCTGATTGGCCAGGGCTGTGTTTGGTTTGTGTTGGCTCTGCCCCTGATCTACCTACTTGACAAGCTCAGCCAATCAATCACAGCATTGTGATTGGCTCAGTTCAACACTTCTGCTGATGTCAACCAAGCAGGTAGATCAGGTACATAACTAGCATCAGCCCCCTGGAATAAAGTTAAGATTTTGCTATATTTAGGAGGAAAATGGGGGGCAAGGAGCTAGATGGTGTGTGTGTCTCTAAACCTATAGTGTTCCTTTAATACTTTATTCTGCAGTTTCAATCAGCAAAGCTGGCAAATAATTTCCAAAGCTCTGCAATGTATTTACATACAGCTACAGTAAATGTAATAAATTCTTTATGAATTTTCTGTTAGCTATTATACAAATTATATTTTTCCACTATCATCAGCAATTTGGCATTGGAATAGCCTGCCAAAATTTCAGTTATTATATGCCTTATGGTGAATTGCAGTCAGAAATAAAGTACACTTTATTCAGGTAACTCACTGCAATATATCTGTCTAAGCATTCTATCAATTTGCTATTTTCTGTGCACAGATATTTTAACACTAACTTTCCCATTCTTTTTTTTTTTTTCCATGTGACCTTTTTTCCCAGTCCACCATCGCTTGCATTCACTAGTGAGAATTTAAAGTGAATTCTAATTTAACCCCTTAAGGACCAAACTTCTGGAATAAAAGGGAATCATGACATGTCACACATGTCATGTGTCCTTAAGGGGTTAAAGGACTACTATAGGCACCCAGACCACTTTAGCTCAATGAAGTGGTCTGGGTGCCAGGCCCCTTTAGTTTTAACCCTGCAGCTGTAAACATAGCAGAAACTGCTATGTTTACACTGAAGGTTAATCCAGCCTCTAGTGGCTGTCTCACTGACAGCCGCTAGAGGCCGCTTCCGCGATTCTCACCGTGAAAATCACAGTGAGAAGACGCTGACGTCCATAGGAAAGCATTAAGTAATGCTTTCCGATGGGCGGTTTGAATGCGCATTCGGCACTGACGTCGGCAGAAGGAGGAGAGTTAAGGTAAGTGGCACTGGAGA